AAGGACAAAGGAGGGAGGAAAATGTTTTAAAGAGCATGCGAGAGTTAGGCGAATTGTTAATTTTGTTGTGATGGTATGTCCTTTTAGCAGTCAAGTCAAGTCACCTTTATTTATATAGCGCTTTTAACAATACAGATTGTGTCAAAGCAACTGAACAGCATTAATTAGGAAAAGAGTGTGTCAATAATGCAAAATGACAATAGTAAACACAAATTTTTCAGTTAAAGACAGTTCATCATTGAATTCAGTGATGTCAACATCCAGCTCAGTTTAAATAGTATCTTTGCAATCAAGTCAACGGTATCGCTGGAAATGAAGTGTCCCCAACTAAGCAAGCCAGAGGCGACAGCGGCAAGGAACCAAAACTCCATCGGTGACAGATTGGAGAAAAAACCTTGGGAGAAACCAGGCTCAGTCGGGGGGCCAGTTCTCCTCTGACCAGACGAACCAGCAGTACGGAAAAATCAATTTAAGACGTAATAAAACAGACGATGAACACTATTAACAGCAATTATTATATGATGCAATCAAACTTATAGCAAAATGTAGTAGTTCTGTATGTTGTTTCAGGGTTGGCATCATCTGAGGTCCTCTGAGGGGTTGGCATCATCTCTTCTCAGGTGTTCTGGATCCAGACTGAAGCTTGTGTAAATCCTAGTTACATCCCGTGGCAAAAAACAGAGGAACAAATAGAAACATAATTAGCGTAGCTGCTGTTCCAACCAAGCAAACTGAACTAACCCTTTAATGCTTTGCTGTATGCTAAAATTATAATAATATACACACTACTGTTCAAAAGTTCAGTAAGATTTTTTAAAAATGTTTTCATAATGAGTCTCTTATGCTCACCAAGGCTGCATTTATTTGATAAAAATAATACAGTAAAATAAGTTTAATTGTGTTGTTGCTGTTGTTGTTTACAAATTAAAACAACTGTTTTCTGTTTGAATAAATGAAAAAATGTAATCTATTTTTGTGATGGCAAAAGGCAAAGCTTAATCTTCAGCAGCCAGTGTCACATGATCCTTCAGAAATCATTGTAATGTGCTGATTTGCTGCTCAAGAAACATTTATTATTATTGTTATCAATGTTAAAAACAGTGCTGCTTAATATATTTGTGAAAACCAAGATACATACGTTTTTTTCAGG